ATGGATGTTTCTCAAAAAATTAGAAATTGAGCTACCATTTGGTCCAGCAATACCACTTCTGGGAATATGTCCTGGAGATGCAAAAAAGTACCATAGAAATGACATTTGCACTTGTATGTTTATTGCAGCACTATTTACAATAGCCAGAACCTGAAAAAAAAACCTGAACAGACTGCTGGTTTAAAAAAAAATTGGTACATAAAGCTTGTAACTATCTCATGGTGATTCATAAAATTAAAAAAAAAAGAAAGAAAAGAAACCTTTGTATATCTACATAATGGAATACTATGCAGCTGTTAGGAAAGATGAAGTCATGAAATTTGCGCATAAGTGGATCGACTTGGAGAGTATCATGTTAAGTGAAATGAGTCAGAGAGAGAGGGACAGACATAGAATGACTGCACTCTTTTGTGGAATATAAAGTAACATAACGGGAGACTAATACCCAAGGATAGAGGAGATAAGTGCCAGGAAGATTGTGCGATGGCTTGGAAGCTGGCCTCAAATGCTGGGGCAAATACAGCTGAGATAGAGAAGGGATCACCAAGTAAATGATGCTTGAAGGGCTCACTCAGGATGGGAGATGTGGGCTGAAAGTAGACTATGGACTGAACATTATGAGCACTCAGTACCCATATTGCAAACCATAACACCCAAAAGGAAAGAGAAAGTAGAAGAAAATGTGCTGGCCACAGAAGTAGGGGGGTTGAGGGGAGGGTGGTAGGAGGGATGCTGGGAACATTGGTGGTGGAGAATGGGCACTGGTGGAGGGAGGGACACTCGATCATTGTATGATTAAATGTAATCACAAAAGTTTGTAAGTCTGTAACTACATCATGGTGATTCATTAAAAATAAAAAAGTTTAAAAAATAAAAATTAAATTAAAAAAAGAGAAAAAAATTAATAACAGTTGCACTACAAAACAATGTTTGCATTCTGACTGCACACCCCTATAATATTCTCTACCCTGCCTCCTCTCTTCACTGGTTATGAGTTGCTCATGCTAGAAACCAAGCTTGACACTTGACATCAGGACTTGAAGAAAAGTTTACCTAATAAGATGTAGGTAAATTTTGAATTCAGTTGAAGAATAAAAATTCTGAGATGCTTAAGATGGGAAACAAGGTTTAATATGTTGTTCAGTGATGAACAAACTCTACAAGTGCTTCTTATATGCTCTTCAAATCAGTAGAAACTACCAAAAATCTTTTTTATCTTTATGTAGCAGCCTTGGAGCTGAGTAGGGCTCAGTAGAGTTTCTTACTGACATGAGAACATGATTCTTCACTAACAAGTTATGTTGCTACACAATTTTTATGAAAATTTCTTACTGGTGGTATGGACTTAGAAGAGAGAGATGGGTTGCCAATCTGAAAAGCATGGCTGGGAAAAGAATAGGCAATGAGTTCTAAGTAACTTCAAATAACAAGTCAAATGAGTATTTATTAAAATATTTGCTGAAACCAACTTTGATAAAGGAATGAGAATTCTTCAAATGGAGAATATATATAAACTGGCTAAGCTTGCAATTTTACTAGACAATCATCCAACAACAATCTAGAATAGAGAAAGCAGTAATGTGTACCAAGTCCAGCATTTTACCAGGAATTACAGTTATGAGCTGGAGCAATAGCACAGCAATAGGGCATTTGCCTTGCATGCGACCGGCCTGGCTAACCCGGGTTCGATTCCTCTGTCCCTCTCAGATCCTGGCAAGCTAGTGAGAGTATCTCACCCACATGGCAAAGCCTGGCAAGCTACCCGTGACGTATTCAATATGCTAAACACAGTAACAACAAATCTCACAATGGAGAAGTTACTGGGCCCGCTTGAGCAAATCAATGAACAACAGGAGGACAGTGCTACAGTTCTGTGGTTGTGGTAATATATGAAGTAAGTAGAAAGCTTGATTGTCCTATCTGAATACACCCCTGCTCTTAGTCTGTTTAGCCATACAAGTAGGGATTTGCACCCATCCTCATACCTACATATCTAAGAACAAACCAAATGAAATGGGAAATATAAGAAATTTTCCTTCAGAAATGAAGAAATGAGGCTGGAGAGATAGTGCAGAGGGTACAATGCTTGCTTTGCACAGGTCAATTCAGGTTTTATCCTTAATCCAAAATGATCCTCTGAGCACTTCCAGGAGTAATTCTGGAGTTCAGAGCCAAGAGTATAAACCCTGAGTTTTGCTGGATGTGACCCAAAAACCAAAAGAAAAGAGAAAAAAATAAAAACATTATGAAGACATACTACATTTTGTTAATATACAAATTATTTCTCTGCAGTATTCAATATAATTTCATTAATAGAAATGTACAATTTAATGATTTAGTACAGAGTATTAGCACTGGTATAATACATTATTCTATAATCAATATAAATGGCCAGAGCCGCAACAACCACATTCCAAAAAGATTTGGGTTGCCCAGAAGTTATAATATTAAATGTCATCATTCTCTTTCATAAGGCTAGTACACCACAGTGTTTTCTACGTTGTGAAAATTTTGAAATCCTCCCTAAAATATATTTAGAGAAAGTGTGGAGAAGGAGGTGCAATTTCTTGAGAATCATATAATCTGAAATTGAGCCTTTACGACTAAGTGAGTTATTCTTCATACCATTTAAACACATTTTCAGACAATAAGAATAGCAGTTGAGTCATAAAAATTATTAGATTATTAGGCTTGCTCTTCAAGCCCATGTTCTTTCTTGAACATATACCTCTCTTGCTTATCTCCATGTGTCTTTGCTTGGTTTTGTTCCCACTCTAGTGATGCCCGAGTTCCCCCTCAAATGCGTATTTCCTGTCTTTCTCTCCTCTCCCTTCTTTCTAAGCAAGTTTTGTTCAATAAAAATATCTTACTTCTCTAAAACAAAGTTATTAGATTATTAAATCGTGATCTCATTGGAAAACTGGTTTACTGCAAGAATAATAGCAATATTTACAGATACAGTGTATTGATATACCATTGATTCATAATACTATAATACTTGAGAGTATAACTCACTCTTCCTTAAAGTGAGTTATCATCTACTACAAAGCTCTAGTGTCACTTCACAGTCAAAATGACCACTTCTACTGATTCTAACTTACCTGATCCACTTTTCCTCTGATCACAATCATATTTTCCAGAGGCTAAAAGCTTATTTATTTTTTCAGTTTATTTTATTTTCTTTGTCCATTTTCCACACAGCTTATTATTTTTATATAAAAATGATAATTTTAAAATGAAAAACTATGTAAGAATTAAGAAAATAAAATAGAAAATACTGGCAAAATTAATGAAGGAAAACTTTCCGGAATGTTTATAGAAGACCAATGTGGAGGAGTTGGAAGAAAATTGAAGAATGGAACACAGCATATTATAGGAAATAGAAAGGAGTCACATTTAGAGTTATCTTTCTTAGATAAAATGAGTTCATACTATTTTAGATTATGTTTGGGGGCCACACCCACCAGTGCTCAGGGTTTACTTTAGGTTCTGTACTCGGATCATTCCTGGCAGAGCTCAGGGGACCACATGGAGTGCTAGGTTTTGAACCTAGGTCAGTCACAGGAAAGTCAAGTGCCTTACCTGCTGTACTATCTCTCTGGCCTTTTATTTTTCAGAACAATTACAAACTTTACAAAGTATAAACAAAACAAAACTATACTTATCCAAAGTCACTGAAAGGTAGATGTTGGAATGATGTCAAAGTCTCAAAGAGAAGCTGGGCTTTTCAATAACCTTTTCTGGCCTGAGGACATGGCACAATCAGCATGCAGCATGATTAAAAGTCCAACTGAAATCTGTAATTTTTACTTTCTGCCATCATATGGAGCTGAATAACAAAATAGTCAAAGTAATACTGTGTTTTCAGTAGGCTGTGTTTAATAATGTAGTTAGAGTTGGTCAAGGTAACACAATGTTGAGAATATTGAGTTAGGATATGGAAATCTAGAATCTAGTCATTGATCTTACATATGGAAAATACGAAAGGCACTGCATCTTAATTCAGAAGCGCTTCTTCAGAGGTGACACGGAGCTAAGTGCTTGGTCATGAAACTTTAAACTTAATCTATTTAGAGACAGAACTTTAAGTTGGGTAACTAAAAGGAATTTTATACAGATAGAGAAAAGTTAATCTAAAATAGGTAAGAATTTTATTATAAGGGAAAATTTAGAATATGCAATTCCTCCACATGTCACAGACAGTATGATATATAGGAAAGAAAACGAATGTGATTTCATTAGAGAACATGGGCTCAGGTCCAAGACTCAGGTCGGCTGCTATTTTGTCTAAAATAAACAGCCATCTCATGAAGCTTTTTTCATCATATCTGTAACACAGGCAAAAAAGGAGTTCTGACTCAACCACTTCAAGGAATTACTGAGAGTATAAAATGGGTAATTTATGTAAGAGTCCTTTATAAAACTGTAAACGCCACAGAACCATTTGAACTTGCTCTTGCACATTTGACTATTAAGAGAAGACAGGGGAGATTTATGACAAAGAATATTCCATCAGAAGTATGAATACCTCAACTCAAACTCTAACTAGGCCCCAGAATTGCTGTGTGGTTTTTCAACAAGGCATGCACAGTCCTGGATTTTCATTGCTTACTTAGAAAACATGTAAACCTCCAGTGAGAAGTCTACAAAAACATAATTTAAAGTCTGAGCTCTTTTCCAGAATACCAGTGGCTGCGCCAAACTCCTCTTTATTTCCAGATCTTTTTTCTCCACAGAACAAGTATCAAAAACTCACAGTGACCTGCAGCTGTTTTCCATGCCATGGCCATCGTTAGAACCGTTAATCACACATTATTGGGGGTAGCCAAGGAGAAAAACAACTTAACGAGCTTGGGTACAACCTTAATTAAATGATAAATGTGTGTCAACATAACTGATCAAACCCCAGTTGCTTTTAATTTAAGATTATAGCAACTAACTCAGACTTCTTGACATACGGACGCATTTCAAGTACACATCATGAAGCCCATTATCGGTACCTGGAAAGGCTGCCTGCTGGAGATGGGAAGGTGTTTCCTCAGCCATCTGTTGCCCTGATCCCCAAATATCTGCCACAGCAGCTGGCCCTTTGTGTTACTCCAGATCCGCTGGTAGATGGCCAGCCTATAAATGTGCTTCCCGAACATGTGGTAATAGAAGCGGAAAGAGCAGCCTTCTGCACCCGTGCTGTTAAGAATCGGGCTGAGCAAAACGGCTCTGTCTTGGAAGACCTGAGGTTCCGAAGATTCTATGTAGAGATAATGTCCTTGAGCTGTGCCCAAAGTATTATCCTTCATGGGCCCTGTATTCAGGGTTGCAGTGGGGCCCTGTTTCCTGGTCCAGTTGAAGTCGTCTTCTGTGTCTTGTTCCCAGTTACAACTACCATTTTCAAAGTTACATTGCAATTCAGGTACTGAATTCAGAAAGAAAAAAAAAAGACCCATAATTAATAAGATTAGTGGAACTTTGCTCTTACCAAGGTAAAAACATTTCAAATTTTTAAATGCAAAATTGAAACATTTTAAAGGATAAATGAATCCTAAGGATACTTCAAGAAATGTTTTTGTTTGTTTCTAGGTCACACCTGGCAAGGCTTGGGAGACCCGATCCATACAAATCAAACCCAGGTCAGTTGTGTGCAAGGCAAGCGCATTGCCTGACACTGTACTGACTTCTAGGTCCCAAGAAATAATTTTCTCTGAACTGAACATATAACCACTTTGAATATGGTTTTCCAAATGCCTTATATTCCCATCCCTTCTCTGTTCCTATAGCCATCTTTCTAGCTACTGAAACAAATGTTTAATTCCGTGGCTTTTAAGAGTTGAGTATTTGATCACCACAAAGCACTAAAACAAAACACCAAAGCTCAGAAATCATATCCAAAGGTGCTGATAATTAAATCAATAAGGTCGCAATTAAGGTCCCAACATCTGAACACTTTATTAGTTCTTTTGGTAATACCAAAATGAAAGTGAAAATAGTGATAACTAGCATATGTGGTAAAATTCCTTACTCCATGGAGTAAGCCCTGTGAGAATAGTTAGTTTACTCGAATGGGGTGAGCCTGGGAATCCCTGTTTTAGCCAGCACTCAGGATTATTTGGACGTGGGTTCTCTCTGGTCCTCTCGGAGCCCTCTGGCCCCAAGTTCAAGTTCTTACACACCAGTCTGATGTGTCAGATAAAGGTCACACTTCAGGGCAATATGTCTTTCTCAAAGTCCTTGGAGAGAGACACCATTGAAACACAGAACTCAGCTCTCTATCTTTAAGCTCCACCTTTACCAAATTAACGACAACAAAAAATCCTCTCCAAACAAACTTCATCCAAAAAACCTTCCTCAGTGCTGCACGTTCTTAGTGCCAGAGTACAAGAGCACTGGCCCCTCCACCACCGTAACTTATGCCAAATGCCTTCAGGTGTCTCACAGTCGGTGCTGTGGTGCCCCAGGGCCTGTCTTGTCCCCCTGCATTTGGGCCCTTTAAATTTTCAATTTACTTCTGTCATTTCAGTTCAACGCAGTCATAAACAGTTGAAGGTCATGAAAAGGTACAAATTTCAGTATCAGAGAGGGTCCTGATCTGTGGCCATAACACAGTGACAACAGCTCATAAAGAGTCCACACATTTGATGGTTGTTAGGAGAGATCTTAATTACAACTCTGAAAGGAAATGGACTTAAGCTCTGACAATGATACCTTAATTAAAAAAAAAAAAGACAAAAGCAGGCTTTGTTGTTGCTCCAGAGTAAAGGAACTTTTCTCTTTATAGGGACACACGGCAAAGGTTACAAATATTTATGCTCAATTTTATGTCTTTGATATCTCTTACATTTGTTCTCAGACTCATTTAAGTATGGATGCAGAATTTATGTTCAATAAAATATGTGTATCTTTAAAGTGCAATTTGATGCATTTTTATAAGTAGAGCAACACCCAGTGTTCAAACCATGTTTCTTTAGCCCACAGTTCTTTGGCAGTCCTCTCCATGAAGAGGACCATTTCTATCACTGTTCTCTAATTTCTTTTTCTCTTTTAGGGGTTTGCTCCCAACCAGTGCTCAGTAGGCCAAAAGGGCCCCATGTGTGATTCTTGGCTAACTGGGCCAGAGGTTCAGTGCAGGAACACGAGGATGTAGTGCTGGGGACACCCAGGCCACCGGGGGAAGTGCTGAGGGCATCTAGGGCTGCACCCAATAATGCTCAGGGGACCACTTGGTGCCAGAGATCAAATCCCAGGCAAGCGCCTGCCCAGAATGCACCCTAAATAATTCAGTACTATCTCCTGGTCCCTATCTGCTATTTTTAATTTATTAATCCCTGGTTTCTTTTTATTGATGAGAGTATACATGTTCTGGAGCTGGAGAGAGGGTTCTGTGGGTAAAGAGCTTGCCTTCCATGTGGCTCACGTGGGTTTGATTCCCAGCACCCCATATGCCCAACCCCACACCCCCTACAGCAGGAGTGATCCTTGAGCAACACTGAGTATGGCCCCCAAATGAACAAAACAAATATGCATATTCTATTGTATGTATATACTAATGTAAAACTTTGAATTTTGGACTTCAAGTTTTGGACTTTCCTACTTTGAGTTTAATAACGTATTTGTCTAGTGTATGTTAATTTCTGTCTTATCCGCCAAATTCTCAGTCTAACAATAGTACATTTAGGTAGATAATGTCACCACCAGAGCTCTATTATTCTGCTGAATGGGATGTAAATTATTATAATCACCTGGAGAGCAATTTGGCAACATTTGAGAAAGTTGTCATGGTAAGCTCTCCATTAGCCAACAGTTCCACTTCTACTCATAGATTTTAAAGTCACTCTCCAATGTATGCATAAAGAGACATCTAAAACAAAGTTACTCACGGCATTTTGATTTTAAAAGGAAAAAATAGAAAAAAGTAAAGCAGGAGTATGGAGTGATATAGTACACTTGCTTTGCACATGGCCAGTCAGGTTCAATAACTGGCACCCCCACATGGTCTCCAAGCCCTGCCATGAGTTATCTCGGAGTGCTGAGCACAGAACAAGGAGTAATCCCTGGGCATCACCAGATATGGTCCAAAAACAACAATAAAAGCAAAAAAAGACCTCTATAAATACCTTGTCGATTTTAAAAAAATGAAGAGTGATATATATCCTTAAATTCAGCATTATATTGGAATAAAAATAATTATGTGCTTGAATTATCTGAGCATTTTAACAAATATTGAACAAAAACACTTTAAAATATGTCTTAAAGTATTTAACACAATAAAATAATATCACATATGTATAAAATATCTCCAGAAATACACAGAAATATTAACATATAGATTATAATGGCTACCTCTTTTACAAAAATAGAAATTGACTAGTTTCTTACCCCTTGGCTACACTACCCACATTTCTAGAATAATGCAGAAATGAATTCATTTTTCAAGATTGTGTTGACACTAAGTATTCATTGTGAACAAATGGGCTAGCACAATATTTGTTCACAGGGGACAGGATTCAGAATGAACAAGAAATTTCACATTTTCACTTCATTTGCATAGATTAATTTGTTTAAATGTCAGCTGTCCTTTAACTATTCACTTCTGTAACTGTGGCTGGAGATGAAGGTGAGCCTGAGCTGTCAGATACTCTGAAACTATAAAGGAAGGGGGCTGAGAACAAAGGAAGCCTGGCAGGAGCAAATCATCCCTTCTCTGAAAACCACAGACCAGACTGGAAGCCTGCACCTAGTGGAGGGAGGCGAGTGGGGAAAGGTCAAGCGGGAGAGGAGCATCCCCTGCTATTCTCTGCTCTGCAGTGATGTGAATTGGGACCCACACAGTGAGCACTCCAGGTGCCATTCTCTGCCTGTGGGCAGGAGCAAACATCAAGCTGCTGAGTTTTTGACACAAAACTGGCACTAAATGCCACAGATTTTATATCATCTGCCTCATCCTGACCACATGCTCAATCTCCACTTCAGAAGTGATCCTGTGTCGTTCCACCCTGAAATAAAAGCAAGCTCTAATACAAACTTCAGAAAATAGGGCCTGGATAGTTGATATCTGATATGGTACAAAAGGAACAGGCCCAGATCAGAAATGAACAAAGAAACAGGACAGTCGAATATTTCCACCCTTTCCTTTTAAGAAAGTCACAGAAATATTGTGGTGTTGAGCTGTCTTGCTAAAACCTCACTCTAAGTTAATTCTGGGGAAACTGGACAGATGAATTTGCTTCTTCATTAGCAGTAGGTCAACAGTGTTCAAAGAGTGAGACATGAAGAATTTGAAAAAGATGAAAAGACATTCTAAATTTGCAAAAGCCAGTTAGGTTTAATCTAAGCAATGCCTTTTAAATCATCCACTTTGTTTATAGTGCCTCAAATATCACTAGATGCACGGGAATCTAGACTCTGCTTGGTTGTGACAAAGATCACATAATGCAAAACTCTCCACAATGATTTTTGTGAAAATTTCTTTTTGTTGCTTTTTTTTTTTTGGCCATGCCTAGTTGTACTCAGGTGCTAGTGGTTTGAACCTGTAGCTCCCTCATGCAAAACATTCATACCAGCCACCCTGAGTCATTCACCAGCCACTACATGAAAATTTCTAAGTATTACTTATCCTGTGATGTGCCAAGCACTTTATGATTCTCCTCTGGTTTATAAATAAATTGAATGATAAGAATTGTTGCTATTTCTAGACAAGAAATGTTACAAACTTTTGGCTCTGACTTTCATCATTGAAAAACAAAAACAGCTATTAGTTTCTGATTTACTTTCAGAGAAAGGAAATTAGGTGCTACCTGGAGTTAGGTTTATAAAATTGAGAGATCAGCATAATTAACAGATACAATTTTTAAAAATCAGCACACTTAACATACACTTGTTGGTAGTTTAAACAAGAAACACCTTGACAGTTTTCTCTCTACTCCCAACAGTCATAGATCCTGAAATGTCCTTCCCAAATGGTTCTCCATCTTTCACTTCCCATGTTCATTATATTTACTGTGATTCAAGCTGCCTATCTTTCTCTGTGGATGATTGCGATTGCCTTCTACTAGACCTGTAAAATCACTCTTCTCTGTTTCACTCATCACACCGTGTCACTTGTGACATCCTGACATAGGTCAATTTTATCTTATTACCTTCCTTCTTAAAACGACTCAAATGAAGAACACATCCTTATTAAGGTGTACAAAGAGATGCATTGTTCCTCTCCTCCTCCCTATTCTTCATCTCCATGTTTGGGTCACCTGGCTATTGTCCATCCCCTACACAGTTTGCCCTGGGCTTTTTGTATCTATGACATAGCTCACCTAAGTCCTCACCTGTAAAGAGTTCAATCCCATGCTCATAAGTTACAGTATCCCTGTTTCCAACTCCTGTCTTTTACCTCCTGGAGTAGACTAAAAATTTAGGGACTTCTATCATTGTGTTCACTATTATATCCTAGTATCTAACTCATAAATCTATTTAATAAATATCAATCACTGTCACTGTCCTCCCGTTGTTCATCGATTTACTTGAGCGGGCCCAGCAACATCTCCATTTTGAGACTTACTGTGTTTAGCATATTGAATACATCAGGATATCTTTCCAGGCTTTGCCGTGCAGGCGAGATACTCTTGGTAGCTTGCTGGGCTCTCCGAGAGGGGCAGAGGAATCGAACCCAGTGAAGCAGGGCTGGCTGCATGCAAGGCAAACGCCCTACAGCTGTGCTATGGCTCAATGACTAAATAAGTATGCAAGATTCATCAACTTGAACAGTACTTACTTAGAGATTAGTTTTAAAAAAATGGAAAAACAGTGAATGTGACCACCACTATGAAAATGACTCTGAGCTACCAGAAAGATAGGTAGATAAGTGGAACAATAAAACTCACTGCAGTCATCCTCATCACTGTGATCTCCACAATCATCCACCAAATCACAGAATCGGAACTTTTCTATGCAGGCCTTGGTGTCTCGGCACCAGAACAGATCTGGCCCTTCACAGCTCTCAGCGGGCATGGGAAGAGAGCAGCTTTCGAACCGGATGTCATCAATAGCGGAGATCCCATCATAGATGCCCAGGCTGACTTTATCTAGTGTCAAATGGAAGGGCTGAGTGAGCCGCCCAAGCTGAACAATGGCCTGGGACCACTTGTCGCCCTGGTTATATAACACTCTCCAGAGGACCGTGAAGTCACTGGACTTTTCCATATGGAGCTGCAGCTCAGCGGCTCCCACGGACAGGCCATGGTTATAAAACCTAAAAAAGAGAAACACGGGAAATGGGAGATATTTCTGGCACAGGCTAACTATTGAACTTTTAGACTCTTCCCCTCACTTGGTCAACAGCAGTCAATTAAAAATTATCACAACAGACACCCTGACTTCTTAGTCATTGTGGCTGTCTGTTTGAGCTTCTCTGCCAAGGTGCATACTCTGGTTCTCAGGACACCGGCAGCCTTTCTCAAGCTGCTCTGTCCAGGAGAGAGAAGAAATGCTAATTAAAGTATTGTCTACTGTTGGAGAGAAACAGTCCCTTTCACCTCAAGGAAGAACACCAGCACTGATCCATGATCCTAAGCATGGTGTGGACTGTGTGTGTTAATGTGTGTATTAATGCAGTAGCTACTCTTGAACACAAATAAAGGCAGAGGAAAACATTCAAGAGATATGGTAGAACTGCATCCACTCACAATCCCTGCTGGGTAGTTTTGAATATTTACCAGAAGGAAAGCGTGCACCCAGGTCCTGCCTGGTTGAAAGTTGGGCTCTGGAGTTTAGCAACCTGTGACAAACTGCTGCTTTTCTTCAGAATGAACATAAAATTTCCTATAGGGATACAAAGGCAAACCACACATTAATCTCAGAATTCTAAAATAAAGACATTGCTCTATTTACCCCATTCTACCTCCCATTAGTTACATAACTAAATACCCATTAGTTACATTACTAAAATAAGGACTCTAAAATAATTTTCAGATAGGTAAAAGTGACAGAAATGCTCAACAAATACGTATTATTTACGACAAAATCTAAAGAACAACAAAACAATTCATGATTTTAGTCAATCCACCCAAACATCTCTTTACTTCCTCCCCATATTCATAAAGGAATGACTCCATGTAAACCAGTTTCAGACCTTGGTCACACTGGAACCACCCAGTGAGATGGTAATATCCTTGGGTATATAGCTGAGGGAGTTATGTATAATAGTTGACTATAATAGTTGAGGGTGTTTATTTGCATAAAAATTTGCATTCTATATTTCCCAGGGGGCACTGTTGACTTTTTTTTACTTTTTGGGTCACACCCAGCGATGCTCTGGACTTACTCCTGGCTTTGCACTCAGGAATCACTACTGGCAGTGCTTGGGGAACCATATTAAAAAAAGGCCCTCCCGTTGATCGTCGATTTGCTCGAGCGGGCCCAGTAACGTCTCCATTGGAGACTTTGTTGTTACTGTGTTTGGCATATCGAATACTCTCGGTAGCTTGCCGGGCTTTCCGAGAGGGGCGGAGGAATCGAACTCGGGTCGGCCATGTTGGCCGCTTGTAAGGCGAACGCCCTACCCGCTGTCCTATCTCTCCAGCCCATATAGAATGCTGGAAATCGAACCCTGGTCAGCTGCATGCAAGGCAAATGCCCTACCTGCTGTACTACCCACTGATGACTTTTGTTTATTTATTTTAGGAATGTTAAGTGTAAGTGAGAACATTCAATTGTTCTATTACTCCTGGTACAACATCGAACCTTCATTGTCTTTCTTCCTCTACTCAGAGTTGATTGAACAGGAATAGTTAGGAAGAGTCTTGGGTTTGTCCCTACCTTGAGATGTATTGCTAGTGTGATCCCGAGGTGGTGCCTGGTGTTCCACATCAGCAGAAAGGTTGCTTCTTGAGCTCCAGACCCAGTCAAAATCATCCCCATGAACGGCTTCAAACCAGCCACAGCTACTGTCTTCAAAGTCACATTTGGAAACTGAAGAACAAAATTAAGCTCTTAGGTCATTCTCCAAAGATGCACTTACTTTAAAAAGAACAAGATTCAATGGAAATCAACTTGTTTTGCTTTAATTTGGTGGGGTTTTGCAGGGGACGATGGAGTTACTGGTTCTCAAGTCTTTCTCTAGGCTCTGTTCTTGGGTACTTTATGTGGTGCCAGGGTGTTGGGGAACAGTTTTTCCCCAATGTGCCCAGACACATTGTGCACCGGATCTGGGAAGACGTAGGGCTAAGGATGATGGCGGGCAGAGAAACCACTTGGGAAGACAGCTGATGGCCGCTCACTTTATTGCTAATACACACATATTTTATAGAAGGTCTCGGCTTAAGATGATGGTCCAATCACATAAAGTTTAGCATTACTGACCTATCACCTTTCCAACTCTGCTATTTGCCCAGCCCAATGCTGTGGTTAGGAATAACTCACTAAGCATAGGTGATAATTCTTGGGGGGTTGGGTGAGATAAGTCCTGATACCTGGTGCTTGTAGAATGCACCCAGACACTCCCTACTGGGTCACTATGCAGGGACATGTCCTATCTGCTATGCAGGGACAGAACTTATCTGCTCTGGTGCCTGTTGCCATGCTACACACCAGAGATTGAGTCAGAACTGGCACATGTAAGGGAAGTATTTTAATCCCTGCACTATCTCTCAGCCCTCTTGGAAATCGCCTTGCCATGCTTCTCTGAATCTATCAAAAGACACACTTGACCAAAAATGTGATCTTATCTGATAAAAAAATTGCTAATATGTGACCTTGTCACACTAGATATTGATATGGCAGAAATCCCAATTTAAGAAATTCACATGTTTTACAACTATTTTTTTAATGTAACTATATCATTCAGTTTGTAATCTATAAAATTACAATTATCTGCCTTTGTTTATTCTGATACTAATGTTATCATCCATGAGTTTACTACATAATATGGAAGGATTAAGATTTCCTATAAAGAAATTTACACAGAGCCACAAAAATTTGATACTGAAAATTCCAGATCTATTATATTTATTATAATGTTTGCCTACAGTTTTTAAGAACTTAATGTTTCCCCAAACATAATCTATGCATCATCTAATTTGTGAAAAGCAGATTCATGTGACTGGTTTTTTAGGTAAAATAAACAGAAAAATATGTTCAACAAAAGAAACTTCAATAAAAGCATTCTGGAGGAGGAAAAGAAAACTAAAAGAGGAATAAGGGAAATGAAAAAAGGGAAGTCCTACTAACAGTAATGTGGCATTATAGTTGATATTTACAAAATATCTTGCATAATAGAACCCATATAAGAAGTCAATTTAATCTTTCTTACAGAATAGCCCTACAGGAAAGTTATTATTATTGCTGGTTTAGGAGGAAAGGAAGATGTAGAGACTCAATTATCTTAACAAAGACCACATTGTTAGGAAATTGTGGAGAGAGATTAGATCAATTATTCTGACTCCTAGTTAAATACTGCTTTCTGCAAGTATTGATTCTAACTATTCATTTTCCTTAGACATCGTAAAAAGATAAACCAAAAAAGGATCATCTGAATTATCTTCATGATGCTAAGTTATTACTTTATAACCTAATACACAACAAAGTTTGCTTCCAAATGATCTTTACGCTGGAAATCTCAAGCTATTCACTATTCATATACATAAAGAGGATGAGATTAATCTCAAAACTGTCCTCTTATAAAAAAAAAACTTTGGACACAAGAAAGAACTTTAGCAGATGAAATATAAAGTCACTCAATCAATTCTAAAATTGTAAATGGTAAGCCACTTTAAACTAGTGATTTAAACTAATAAATCATTTTCAATTTTGAAAATGCTATATCTATGCAAAGGCAAACAGTAATACTGAACATTCTTTGTAAATTATGAGTTGCTACAATATAATTTGATTTCTATATATTGATGTTTCAAGGATAGATGTACTTTCTGTGATCTTTCCTACCTAAAATATGGTCAGAAGAGAACTTTAAAAATTTTATTAAAAGTCATGGGAATAACAGAGTACTATATAACTGTTAGAAAGGATGAAGTCATAAAATTTACATACAAGTGGTACTACATGGAAAGTATCATGCTAAGCAAAATGAGTCAGAAAGAGAGGGACAGACATAGAAATATTGCATTCATCTGGGGAACATAAAGTAACAAAATAGGAGACTAACACCCAAGAATAGCCGAGATAAATACCAGGAGGTTTACTCCATGGCTTGGAGGCCAGCCACACACTCTAGGGATAAAGGCAGCTCAGATAGAGAAGGGAGCACCAAATAAAGGGTATTGGGAATATCTGCCCAGGATGGAAGATGCATGTTGAAAGTAGACTATAGACCGAACATGATTGCCACTCAATGCCTCTTTTGCAAACCACAGCACCCAAAAGGAGAGAGAGAACAAAAGGGAGTGCCCTGCTACAGAGGCAGGGTGGGATGGGGGGATGGGGGTGGGAGGGATACTGGGATTAAGTGGTGGTGGAGAATGGGCACTGGTGGAGGGATGGGTACTCAATCATTGTATAACTGAAACCCAAGCACAAAAATTTGTAAGTCTACAGTTGTACCTCATGGTGTTTCACTAATAAAAATTTTTTAAAAAGTCAATGGAGTGTATAAATATTAAAACACATTTTTAATGTTGCATTGACTTTAGTAATCAAGAAATAACTACATTTCAGTATATAGTGATAGTGAGAAATCATCTAAGTAAAGCACTGTTTTATTTAGAATAAATATTTCTTAGGTAAAGTTTAGAAATAAGTTAAAGCAAAATTGAGTGTTATTTGAAAGTCAAAAATAATTATAAATATGAAAATAAATCCTAAGTATCTAAGTCTGTAGTTTTAAAAGCCATTCCTCTCTGTATATATAATACAAAGATAACCCATAAGTAAACCTAATTCTAGGAGTTTTAAAGCATATCAAGAAGCAAATAACTTGAGATTACTATTACACACAATCTGTAGAACAAGACTCAGGAGCTCTTGTTATGCAAATACAGAAGAAAAATGATATTGACACAATATATTATCTTCTAAATAATACCTGAAAGAAAAACTTATCATGTGCTATCCAGGGAGATATTGCTGAAGAAGTAAATTCATATTTACATAATATGAAAATTTGAGCCATCACTGTAACTATCCTAGAGTTCTCTTGGATAAGGTCTTTCAAAGACAGATATTTTTAACTGATGATTTAAATGTGATTAAAGTTCAAAAATGCCTTCTAATATACTCCAACCCTAAATATTTAGACTTTAATACATATTTTAAAACTCATCCAGTTGACCAGAGACATAACCAGAGATTGATAGACAAAAGATAATCTTCTAGCTATCTTATGATCAAATATAAACCTTAAAATAGCTCTTGCAAATTATGTGTGTACCATTTTCCTGGTTAGAGACATCATATGCAAGTTATGTTTTACTATTTGTAGCTTGGATTTTTTTATTGTTTCTAGAGTACCTTTCAACTGTATCAATTATTGATATTATGAGAATCATCCTGAGTTGCAATATAATTGCAGGTACCATTTATTTGGAGTGAATTGTATATTAGACTTTGCCCTTAGGGTCCTACCCACTCAAGGTGTCTGCTTGCTGACATAATTATTTTGGGTAGAATGACCCTCTGGCTTCTATAAGTTATGCAACAGAATGTCAGTTACTGCCTCTGGGGAAAAGTGGCAGAGATTCCTGGAGAGTTGACCTATGGGTCCATCCTCATTCAACATTTGCTGTCATTCTTAGAGCTGTACATGGAGACAAAGGAAGATGAATTTATGTTGGCACCAAGGAACCTTGTGAAGAACAAAAATAAAAGTTGTATCTATTCACTGCCCTGGACCTTTCTTTCTGGTTTGGGATAATTCCTACAAAGATTCATTTGTGAGGAATTCGTAGCAACTACACAGAAGAGGGCTGCTGTTCTGATCATTTGCAACTCATACATGTAGCACTGTAGCACTGTCCTCTACTTGTCTTTTCCAGAATGTCATAGGATTGATGCCATGTATAGCTGATGATGTACTAAAATCAAGCACTATGTGATCTTATCAGATTGACTCCTTTCCATTAATAATACGCATTTAAAGTTCCTATTGTTCTATGCCTTTGTATAGCATTTCATTTTAGCACTAATATTCTACCTTAGGGAGGAATCATAGTTTGTTTAACCATGTGTTTATTTTAGGGCATCTTGGTCACTTTCAAGTTTTGTTTTGACAATTCCAAATAAAGTTCTAGTAACATCTGTGGAAGATTTCTGGGGAAACATAAAATTTCTGCCCCTTTCAATATAATCCAAGGAACACCCTCCTGTACATTATTTAAGTTTCTTTTGTGTATGTGTGAGAGGTAGCACAGTGGGTAGGGCATTTGCCTTGCATGTGCGACCAACCCAGGTTCAATTTCTCCATCCCTCTTGGGGAGCATGGCGAACTACTGAGAGTATCCCACCCTCATGGCAGAGCCTGGAAAGCTCCCCATTCAATATGCCCAAAACAGTAACAACAAGTCTCACAATGGAGATGTTACTGGTCCCCGCTTGAGCAAATTGATGAACAATGGGAGGACAGTGCTACAGAGCTACACGTGTTGCATGGCAGCTTCACAGCCACGCTGTCCAGAAAGCAGCCTGAAGTGTGGTGGTGGTTAGGTAGTGGAGGTCAGCTGCCAGGGCTGGGTCCCTTGGGGTGGGTAAGGCTCTCAACCAATCCACAGCCTGGAGCGGAGTCTGGTGGCATGGTTCTGAGAGCCTCATGTTATACTCCCGTCTGGGAGGAGCATCCTGACTTCTGGAGGGTGGCCGATGAGGAGATTATCTGGTGCCAGCATAATGTGGCTTATGGGTGTGATCCCTGAGTCACCAGTCACGGGGAGACTGAGGGAAGCAGGCAAAGGATCTCTATTCTGGGGTCCCGTTGAGTCCAGAGTCCAAGGTCTCCACGCCAGGCTCTGGGGTGGGTAAGAGCCCTCTCCACCCCAAGGGACCCAGCCCTGGCAGCTGACCTCCACTACCCAACCATCACCATGCTCAAGGCTACTTTCCAGATGCTCAGGCCAAGCCTCATGCATGAAAGAACTCCTATGGAACCCAGAAAAAGCATTGTATAAAAAGTGTTGACGTAAAAAATACACTCTACATAAAAAACATTAATAATATAATGCATTGGATTTTATCTTAAATATATACTTAAATTTCCTTTACTTACTTTACTTATATACTTAAATAAATTATACAAACATCATTCTGAATAGACTTTTCAACTGAAAAATATTTATATTATTTTGGTTTGATTTTTTATTATATTGTTATCTCTTTTTCTCTGAGTTTCTCTATTGTAGCAACATAATTATAGCTGTAAGATAGGTTAAAATATCAAAGGTTATTAGCCATATTTTCCTTCTACAAAGAAATATTTTTCAGTACTTTTCTGGAAGATCAACAGCTCCATAAATGAAAATGAATGGACCCTTTTCTCTGCATCTTGGTTCTATGTGACTAAAAGGATAAGTCCCTCTCACAAACAACTTCCCATTCATGTCTCTCACAATTTCCTCTGCCTGGACTATTGTTTTAAGTAGTAAATAATCTCTAAATTGCACTTAATGAAAGCAGAAGATGAATATTCAGTTTATTAAGAAAAACTACAGTCCCTTTTTTCCATCTACAGGGCCGTAGATACCAATATGCATTTAGTAAAAATTTAAGATAGTTAATAATTAGCAAACTTTAGTTGATTTGAGACTTCACCAATCCTGTCCCCTTGTAGTGAGGGCTACAGAAAACACAAGAGGGAAAAGAAGGATCTTATTTAATTTTATTAAAATTTTTTAAAAAATGTATTTATACTAGAGGTACATTTTAGGAAACCTAAATTTGTAATTATTTTATATATGCTCAATCTCACCAACTCATTGCCCCTCAAAACACTTTCAGGGATATGAAATATATATGTATATACATATATACATATAGTATATGTGTATAGTATGAGACTAATATACATATAGTATGAGATAATATCCAAGGTGAGGGTAAACAAGGGCTGGGAGGACTGATCAATAGTTGTTGGAAGCTCGCCACTAGAGTGTTGAGGGCAAAGAGCAGTTAGGATAGACAAGAGACGAGAATGACAATAATAGTTGGAAATGATCATTTCCGACAGGAACTGTACTACTTTCGCTTACCGACTTTCAGCTGAGTGTTGAAAGTAGGTAAAGGGATATATCTGATAACCTTTTGTTACCTATATTGCCAACCATAAGGCCCAAAGGAAAAGAAAGAAAGAAAGAAAGAAAGAAAGAAAGAAAGAAAGAAAGAAAGAAAGAGAAAGAAGAGAAGAGAAGAGAAGAGAAGAGAAGAGAAGAGAAGAGAAGAGAAGAGAAGAGAAGAGAAGAGAAGAGAAGAGAAGAGAAGAGAAGAGAAGAAAGAGGAGGGGAGGCGGAGGAGAGGGGAGGGAAAGGAAGGGGAGAGGAAAAGAGGGAAAGTGGGGGAGGGGAGGGGTGGGGAGGGGAGAAGAAGAAAGGAAAGGGGAGGGGAGACAAAAAGAGAGAGAGGGGAGGGGAGAGGAGAAGACAGGAGAAGAGGGCAGAGGAGAGGAAGAAAAGTACCGGCCATAGTGGCAGGCTGGGGTGGGGGAAGGGACGGGCGGCAGTGGGGCACAGAAGTCAGGAGGGAAACTGGGACCATTGGTGGTGGGAAATGTACACTGGTGAAGGGACAGGTATTGGAACATTATACAACTGAAACCCAATCATAAACAACTTTGTAAATGTGCTTATAACTGTGATTGAATTTTTAATATATACTTTCAGAAATATATTTATGAAGTATCAGAGTTGCAATTTAGAACTCTCTCACACTTCTTTTTTCACCTCAACTCTCTCCCTTCTTTCTTCTCTCTCAATTAATATACAGCAGAAAAAAATACATAGCTATAGGAAATTTCGAACTTTTCCAATGCATTTATTATTTCTGTTAAAAATGAAATTGGAATCAGTTGGAGTCAGTGCAGAAGACAACAATTACAATTGGTGGGTAATAAATAAGAATTGCATAGAGGTGGATTCCAGTGTGGCAATACACAGAAAATCATTCAGATTTTACTCAACATCCTGGCTATGGAAATATCTGCATTCAATGTACGTATTTCTATATTTAGCAGATTATAGTAGTCTAAGGCAAATATATAAGCAATATCTTAAATTTGAAAAGATAAATGAGAAAAAAAGTCACTTCTTTTTCTCCATGCTCAAGCTGCCTTTGCTTAGTCTTTATTGAATTCATATACTAAGTATTGACTTATGGCACTTTTCCCAGGAGCAGACAGACAAGTAGAAAATGAGAAATTATTTAGATCTATTTTTAGAGAAGGGAAAAAAGCACATGCATTTCAGAATAAACAGTTTCTGGACAGAAAAAAAAATTAGAGTACTCAGGAAATGAAGTTTGGAAATATTAAAGTTTCTTGTTTAAGAAAGTGCAGTCACTCAAGAAATGGTGGCTTTCTCACCTATATTACATAATGTAGACTAGAAATATATACATATATATATATATATCATCACGGTCACAGTCCTCCCATTGTTCATCGATTTGCTCAAGCGGGCCCAGTAACGTCTCCATCATGAGGCTTGTTGTTACTGTGTTTGGCATATCGAATACATCACGGATAGCTTGCCAGGCTCTGCCGTGTGGGCAAGATACTCTCGGTAGCTTGCCAGGCTCTCCGAGAGGGGCGGAGGAATCAAACTCGAGTTGGCCATGTTGGCTGCGTTCAAGGCAAACGCCCTACCACTGTGCTATCGCTCCAGCCCATATATATATATCATATATATACATATATATACATAATATCCTGTTCATCCAATGTAGACTTGAGAAAATTCATTAGTAATACTATTTGATAACACATGAAATCTCCATTTTGCCATGTAGAAATTAAAATTTAAATCAATAACTCAAAAATAATTTCATAAAAGAATGTTTATAATAAATGTGTCTGATTTTTAAGTTCTACCTTGCATTAGTTAAATTCCAATACAGCAAAACTGAATGCTAAGGCCACATCTTCATTCACTGCTCTGGTTCTAAAGCTGATCTGCCTTGGAGGTTCTTCCTGCTATAAAGAGCTCTCGAGTCTGATTGTCTTTAGGAGATATCAACACTTTCTAAATGTTACACACCTTAGGCCCAGAGGAAATCCTTACATATGAATCTTACCCAAACAACTCAGTAATTTGACTTACCACAATGGGCTTCATGTGCTTCCGCTGGGCCATCAGATATGAAATCACAGACCTTGTTAGATGAACAGCAGCCAGCATCTTTGGATGACACAAATCCAGTTTCAAAAATGAAGGCATGCAAGAATAAAATTACCTCTTCTTCAACAAGTAAATCCAATAGATAATTGTCTCATGAACACTAGTTTTTAAATGTGCTAGAGATGAAGTTAAGTGAAAGAATATAACTTGCTTATTTTCATCTTGCTTATGGCACTACATATGTAAAAATAAGGCTTATGTTCTAATAATTGCTTTGAAATGGGACTGTCATTTGTATGATATTAAAATCTTCCAAAGACTTTAATTCAATTTCATGTTCTCTTTACATTTCTGGACATTAAGCCCCACAGCAGAACAAATATTCACCATAGGTGGAATGGAATAGATGGCACATTGTTTAATTCTCCTTCCAGACTGGTCTCCAAACTTCTGGACCATAGTCATATTAAATTCCAAGCAAAGGTCTATAATCACTAATTAGAGAAATTTACCAATATAGAGAAAATTTTTTCCTTTGTGTAAAACTATTGGTGTTTCAGGAAGAATCCATATAATTTTGGTCCAATTAGAATTATGATATAACCAACCGAGTTCATATTCAGACTAGAGCACACAGAAATGAGTTTTGAGTTGATTTATGAAAAGAATTCTCTCAGTGAAAACAAGTACTCAGAGATTTAGGCTACGGTTAATTTTAGTGGCAATTTGAAACCTTGAGCCACAATTCTGCCTCCAATTACAATCTCTTCAATGTCAACTTTAATGCTTTTCTCCTCTTCTAATTCTGGTGATGCAGTGTTTGATTAAGGGAAGGAAATGTTTAATTAAGTAACAGAAATAAGGTAATGGCAGTTAACCCACACTCATTAATCATTAAATTTGCTCTTTTGCATGCCTCAATGTCAATAATTGGACCTATTGTGGCAATTGTTTCACATGTCTGTAAAGTAAACCATCAAACTTTAAACACACACTGTGATGTAAGGTGATTATTTCTCAAGGAAACTGGTAAATGAAGATTCTCAGAGAATAAAGTGCATGTGTGTAAGTGAGTGTGTGTACAGGTGTGTGTGTCTATTTATTTTCAAGGACATGCTATCATCTATATCCTGATATCAGGTATTAGTGAACTATCTTATTGAAGAAATCTGATATACTTTATATTTTATTATAACAAACCATTTTGATCTTTAAAACTTCAAGAGCCGTAAGGAAAAACTCACCTTTGTTTAGTACACGGTTAATTGGAAGTGACTTATAAGAAATTTTACATTCCTGGGACACACTGATGTTATCAAGAGCAACAGTAGCATTTGATGATAAAAGAGTGGCTTCTAAAATTAACTATAAAAACAAAAACACAAAGAATTAAAAAAAAATACAGTGAATGTAGATGCCTTGCATCCACATTTTCTGGGGTAGAGAACCTTGTTTCCAGTTTTTCTATCTTCCAACCAATCTGACTTCAGAAAAGAGTTTGACCACAAAATTTTAAGTTATAAATCTACAAAGTCATAACTGCTTTGGCAGCATTTTATGTAAGCTTAATACTTTGAGGTAACTTTATTTCAATTAGATGTTCTAACACTCCTCCTAGTGAAGGGTTCTTTTTATTGGAGCTATTAAGAGTCATATGTAGATCTATAGATCGAACATGATTGCCACCCAATGTCTCTTCTGCAGACCACAGCACCCAAAAGGAGAGATAGAACAAAATGGAGTGCCCTGCCACAGAGGAAGTATGGGATGGGGATGGGGCAGGATGGGAGGGATACTGGGATTGGTGGGGGTGGAGAATGGGCACTGGTGGTGGGATGGGTACTCGATCATTGTATAACTGAAACCCAAGCACAACAACTTGTAAGTCTACAACTGTACCTCATGGTGTTTCACTAATAAAACAAAAAACAAAAAAAAAGAGTCATATGCAGAGATCTTTGGGGGTGGGAGTGATAGTACATGGGGGAGTGTGCTTGCCTTGCATGCAGCCACCCAGGTTCAATCCCCGGCATCCTGGATGGTCCCCCAAGCACCACCATGAGTAATTCCTGAGTGCAGAGCCAGGAGTAATCCCTGAGCTATCACTGGGGGGTGACTCAAGAAAAGAAAAACACAAAATTCAAAATAAAATGAGGTCTTTGGGCTAGTCAACAGTGTGGTTTACAACTCAGTTTAATTAAGATGTGAATTCATTTGCAATGGGTCTGCTGGAGGCAATGATTTATTTTCATTTCAGAATATTTATATTATATACATAAAACTTAGAGGAGTATGACATGCAATCAATAACCACATACACTATAATATTCATATGCTAAAGCACTCAGTGTCATTGATTTGAGTATAATTTATATTACCACTCTGAATAATGACAGATATAATTTGTTTTCTTTCTTGTTAATCACTCACATTATTATGCTGTAATTTCACCATCTTAAGCAGTGTAGCACTGTCCTTCCATTGTTCATTGATTTGCTCGAGTGGACCCAGTTACGTCTCCATTGTGAGACTTGTTGTTACTGTGTTTGGCATATCAAATACGTCACAGGTAGCTTGCCAGGCTTTGCGGTGCTGGCGAGATACTACGGCTGATGTTTTAGCAGGATCACCAATGCAGCACATAGCTGGGAGGAGCATTTTCATTTTACCAGGAAGAATGTCAGATCTCAATATTCTTATTTGGTATGCTACGTTAACAACACAACTACATTGGCATTGCTATACAATAGTTAAATAGTAAAGAAGGTAGGGAAGCAAAATTTCACTAAACTATGCCATTGTAAAACAATTTTATGTGCATACCGAGGTCTGTGCAGAACTGTTTAATGCTGGTTGATAGTAAATCAATAGAAATAATTGTAATCAAAACCAACAAACAAATTGTAATCTAGACCAGGGATTAGTATGCCCGTGAAAGATAATGTACTAAGTGACCTTCAACAGGTATTTCTGAGTGAAAAAAAATTATGCAGAAACTCACAAGTGATAGCACAGCAGTAGGGCATTTGCCTTGCACGCGGCCAGCCCGGCCAAGGAGGGTTCAATTCCTCCGCCCCTCTCAGAGAGCCCGGCAAGCTACTGAGTATCTCGCCCACACAGCAAAGCCTGGCAAGCTACCCGTGACATATTCAATATGCTAAACACAGTAAGAAGTCTCAAAATGGAGACATTACTGGGCCCGCTCGAGCAAATCGATGAACAATGGTAGGACAGTGACAGTGACAGAGTCTCACAAATGAATCTCAGAACCAAACAGCTTGCCCAAGATATTCTGGATCTTGCACCAGGCCAATTTCACCGGGGTGCCTCAGACGGAGCAGGCATCATCCCTCGACCTGCCCCAATGAATCCAGGCAGCCACAAACCTCCAGAACCCAATGAAAAATCCAGGTACATGGGGCCAGTGACAGCAAACTCCAGGCCTCAAGGGATCTGGAATGGGTCACTCCTTCCCATCTCCCTGCCCCTTCAGGGTCCCGACTGCCTTGCCCTCAAACTGCCTCTGGGTGCTATTTAAGTGCATTAATGGCCACGATCCAGAGACTCACAAACAAATCTCGGAACCAAGGAGCTCGCTGCAGAAATGTCTCCAGGCCCCAATTATTTAAAATTGTAGAATTCCAGGATATCTCATGCTATTCATAACAAGCAATACAAAATCAATTATCTAGCATCTGCCTGTTGGGCAGGCTTGAGTGGTGGTGGAAAAATTCAAAATAGTGGTGGTGGGAAGGTGTAATGGTGATCAGATTGGTGTCAAAATATTGGATGTAATCAATTATTGTGAACAACTTTATGAAAAATAAAATTTTTAAAAATTATGTAATTTTGGTCACTCATGACCATGTTATGCTGTATTGAGGCAGTGGAATAAGAAAAAGAGATTAATAGCCCTGAGCAAAGGCAACCGAACAGAGCTGACTGGTGAAATCAGACTTACTGAAAGCAAATTTTTGAGAACACCAAGAATCTAGCCATTTTACAGAGACCAGAATAGCTTTTACTTTTATATTCTAAAGCTTACCCGTCACTGAATCTTCAAATAATGTCAGGAAATTGCTATTGATTTGTATCACTGACTCTGATAAAGAGCGAACACAGTCTCAATTCTTGTGGAAAATCTCACCAAAGGATCGCTTTAAGATGTAATCTAAAATATGACACCCTTGGTTTTGAATAGGAAGCCCCAACAATGCAAAGCAACTGGAAATCAATGGACAGTACTCAGGGACAGCGCTACCTTTAGAGTGGAAAAAGTGAAAACGGCAGTTAGAGGAAAATATATGGTCAATTAAGGGAAAAGATATCCGTCTAAAGCATGCACTGCACAGATCAAATGAGCAGACAAGGTCTGTACAGATTTGAAACAGACTATTAACTCTGGGACTTGCATTCTTCCAGGAAAGCAGTGCAGGAAATGCAGAACAGCATATTGAACTGTGGTGGGTTTGTTATTTCTATAGAACCACCAGAAACCCTAATTCTATTTCCACTAGGAAAAAGCATTACTTGTGGGTGTTGATGTCCTAAGATGTTCAGAAATGATTGGTGTTCTCTACTGACATCTACAAGAGACAGCCAAAGGACCACACTTAATCAGAATTTCACAGCTGCAAGGGAACAGAGAGGACAATTAGTTTGATGCCTTTTTCCTTTCCAATATTTGGATTACACTGTATAAATATGTTCAGAGTTTAGTCTCATTTAACCAACAATGAGACAACAATGGCCAAGGGCAATATTAAAGTGATCTAGTTCAATAATTTTATAATGCCTAAAAGGCTGTTACTAATAAAATAAACTTTCCATATTTAAGTATTTCAGTATTGTTGAGTTGTAGGCATAATATCTTCATTCTTCATATGAGATCATGAAATTTACCTATAAATGGATGAGCTTGGAGAGCATCATGCTAAATGAAATGAGTGAGAAGGAGAGGGACAGATATAGAATGACTGCATTTATTTGTGGGATATAAAAAAAAACCAGTATGACCCTAATATCCAATGCCAGGGAAAACTGCCAGGAGGACTATTCAATAGCTGGTCAATGGTGTGGGAGATGGAAGGTAGTTTAGACAGAGGAGGATCCATCATGACAATAATTGTTGTAAATGATTCTATGGACAAGAACTAAGTGTTGAGAGCAGGTAAAGGATTGTACATGATAACCTTTCAGCATCTTTATTGCAAACTATAATGCCTAAAATGAGAGAGAGAAAGAGAAAGAGAGAGAGATAGATAGATAGAGAGAGAGAGAGAGAGAGAGAAGAGAGTTGCCTGTCATAAAGGCAGGCAGGGTCAGGGGCCACTTGAACGGGTGGAAGGGAAACTGGGGACACTGGGGACACTTGTACTGGGAAATTACACTGGTAGAGGGATGGGTGTTAAAACATTGTAGGACTGAAATGCAATCATGAACAACTTTGTAATGCTCTATTTCATGGTGATTAAATAAAAAAATTTAAATATATAAAATAAAATATAAATAAAAGAATTTGAGTGAGTCCAGATAAGATTCACTAAGGACACTCACTAGTTTTTTACAGGCACACTATAAATAACTCCAAATAAAGTATCTCTTTTTCTCAGTATAAATAAAAATTTAATCTTGAACATGTATTTTTGTCTTCTCAGGCAAAAACACAAAAAATCTCTAGTAGCAGTTGAGGGCTACAGGAAATATCTGGAAGGTTCCCTTGAGTATACTCTGGCCTACCTTCAGAGTTGTGAGCATGTGGGTACCTGTTTCTCTCTATAAATTGTACTTGTTTGAATGTTTAATTGCAGTCACATAGTAGTAATGCATTAAATTCTATGTGTATATCTGTGTGACTATGTATATTTATGTGTTCAGTGTATGTGGATATATATAAAACACCAGAATATTAACATGCTCCCAGTAAATTTTCTTATCTAAAGTTCTAGGTAGTGGGGGTATGGTGCCACCAGGTCAATCTGTACCTGTGAGGCAAGTGCATCAGCAGCCTGATGGTGCCTTCAAACTTCCAGATACCCCAAAATTGCTGCTGTGCCTTTGGACAACCCCAAAAACTTGGGGCAAAGTTTACCAAGAAAGTAAACAGCCAAAAGTTAGGTATGTGGGAGAGACAGCTACAAACCACCTCTGGCTCAGCTATATAAATTGGAGTCATGGCTTCTCTGGTTCCTGATCGAATTACTTAACGGCCATGAACCCAGAGACTCAGAAACAAATCTCAAAACCCAACAGCTTTTGGCAGAAATGCATCTGGATCACGCAGTAGGTTACTGTTGCCAAGCCGCCCCAGGGAGGAAAGGGTGCTGTTCCTCCGCCTACTCCCCCTTGGTGGCTTGGTGGCCGCC